GAGAAACTGGTCTATAATTTGTGAAGTTGTGCTTATCACCAGATTTATACAGTGGAATCACCTTTGCTATTTTCATATTATTGGGGAACTGCCTAAGTCGAAGCGACATGTTAAACATATGGGTTAATGGTTTGCATATCCCTTCAATTACCCATTTAACAGTTGTCATAGTGATACCATCACTATCACTAGATGTTTTGTTACCACATTTATTCACTATCTCTATAATTTCCTTTTCAACTATGGGCTTCAGAAACATAGAACCCATGTTCCTTTCGATTGTATTATTATTTATAGTGACGGATGTATCATCTGTACAAATGCTTCTTGCTAAACCAGGACCAACATTCACAAAAAACCTATTAAACTTATCTACTACATCCTCCAATCTATTAACCGGTGTATCATTATCCATAAAATATTGAGGGTAGTTACTCTTGCTGGAACTGTTTCTAATCAATTTATTTAATATATTCCAAGTACCTCTCATGTTATTTTTATTATCCTCTAATACTTTAGAGTAATATAGTTTCTTACATCTCCTCAAAATCTCAATTAATTGTAATTGAAGGATATGCCTTTTAATGTTGTGATTTAACTTTTTTTTTACCATCTAGGTTATGGTAATGTTGCTCCTAAGACCCAAGGCGGCCGTGTGTTCTGCATTCTGTATGGCCTGTGTGGGATCCCACTATGTCTGGTATGGATAAGTGAACTGGGTTCATTTTTTGGAGACCGGGCCAAGCGTCTGTCCCAGGTTATGATTCGTAAAGGTGTTTCAGTGGTAAGAAATGACTGAACAGTGGAGCTCATTGTTATCTGGGTGCAGCACTACAAAGGCAATTCCATAAAAATGTATAATCACGTAAAGATTTTATGTTCTCTTATTTGCTTTATGTCAGAAAATGGTCCAGTTTACCTGCTCAGCCTTATTCCTGTTATGGGGCCTGGTGCTACACCTGGTGATCCCTCCAATTATTTTAATGTATATGGAAGGATGGACCTACTTGGAAGGCCTCTACTTCTCTTTCATCACACTCACAACTGTTGGTTTTGGAGATTATGTGGCAGGTAGGTTAGAGTTAAATTTCATTTAAGGTTAACGTTTCTCTGGTTATTTGTGGGTCTGAAATTTTTGTTTCCTTTGTTATAAAAGTCATGTTACAAAAGGCATATCCTTCAATTACAGGTGTAAATCCAAACATAGACTACCCCAGACTGTACAGAGTATTTGCCGAGTTATGGATGTACATGGGCCTGGCCTGGCTCTCTCTCTTCTTCAGCTGGAATGTCCACATGGTAGTTGAAGCTCACAAGGTGCTAAAGAAAAGAAGACACAGGCACAGGCACATCTATGATGAGGAACCCCAGCCTGCGGTGGAAAAACCCGAGCCAGACATAAAGCCAACTGTCATTGACATCTTCAACTTCCTGTCTGAGGAGGGGGAAGACTACAGCACAGTCATCAAGTCAATTGGAATCATGGCAAAGAATAAAAAGGCTGCAGAAAACATGAATCGCTCAAAGAGCTGCAGTGACATCTTGGCAATCCAGACACTGGAGCACTCGCCACGGCACAGGCGCATGATCAGTATCAGTGAATTGTTCCTCAATGCAAATGTTGGTAAGGACAAAGGCGATCAAGAGATGGAATGTCCTTTAATAGAAGAAAGCAGTGACGACCCTGAGCGGACGGATGATGATGGTAACAAAGACAGTTGTGCAGTTGATTCAGTAAATCCTGGTATCTTCAAAGTACCTACCAGAATTTCCACAGAACAGCGAAGTGTACAAAAGCCTGATGGCAGGAGGACTAGGTTTACAGTATCCAAGGTAGTAGAGGAAGATGTGTTAATTAATAAAGATGAAAAGGGGTAAAAGGTTGTTTCTAAAACTTTATCTTTGCTTCTTCATCTTTACCAACACTGTGGAACCAGGCAGGTTGTGTTGGGGGAAGGAATTTTGTACAAAAAAACCTCACAAATACTGTTATATATCAAGAGAACAAATGATGTTGAGGCTGCACTCTCAGACGGTTACCTGCCTCATGGTGACATTTTATTTATGCAACTTGTCAACATTCCAGAGATACACACAATGGGCCAGTCTCAGGTATCTCTTCTTTTTGCAAACAACAAATAAAGAATTTGTTTATTCATAAATCAACGTGACAACATTTTAGCAGTGATCATAGATAGAGAATATACTGTACTGATCATTTCAAATCACATAACAAGGCTTTGTGGAAAACAGAGCCAATAAGTAACTTTCCTGCATAGGGAGCTGCTACAGCAGAGGCCATGATCACATGGCCATTATCAGCATACACCTGGCTCACCACTGGCTGCTCGGAGTGAATGTTCTTTATCTGGATGACCTGGGGAAAATATACCAATATAATTATCAGGAAATTTAAAACAATAATGAAGATACAGTAATAATAATTAAAAAAAAGAGAAGAAATCTGACCTCAGAGCCAGGTGGATCTTCTGGGTCATAATTTAAAAACTTAATGGCATTTGGATGACAGCCCAGCCATATGTCTCCAGTCCTGTGGTCCACCTCGATGTTATCACAGAGTGACCCAACAGCTACAGACTGGTTGGAAACATTACATACAGTAAATGAGACCTAGTAATTGTATTCTGTCCTCTAGAAATACTGGTACAAAATATGAGTAAAGCATGTACAATATTGCTTTTAGAATTAAATTGTATAAAAGCACAGTGCTAGTCGTTCAACATTTTGAGATATGTTTATTTGCTTATTTTGCTGTTCCGATTAATACAGATTTCAAGTCTGTACACTAAATATGAAGCTACAGACAGCAGGTGGTTACCTTAGCTTAGCATAAAGACTTGAAACTGAGGGAAACATTTTATCTGGCCCAGTCAAAAGAAAATCCATCTGCTAACAGCTCTAAAGCTCAATTAAATGTTATAACTCGCTTGTTGAATCTGTACAAAAACTGAAGTATAAAACCAACAATATCAGGTTTTTAGTTTCCAGTCTTTATGCTAAGCTAACTTCTGGTTGTAGATTCATATTAAAAGAGTGTTATGATCTTCTCATGTGAGCCTGCAAGAAAGCAACTGGCTCATTCCCAAAATGGTGAACAATTAGGAAGGAAGACACTGTATTACCTTAATATATACTAAGTCTTTCCCTTCTTGTCTCTCAAAAACGTCTATGTCATGGTCTAATAAATCTGAAACATAAATATACCTGTAAAAAAAGAGCATTTCTGTTTTATTATTTTAGGATAACAGCAAACACAATGCTGTTGAATTATTCAGTATAAAAGATTGTGCATATACATCATCGGTGATTTCTGAAATGACTTGAGAATAACCGTTTGTCAGGAGATATGTTGATGCCATTTGCCAATAGAAACCCATTGGCTGCCACCTTCACTTCCCCTGGGCTGTAGTACACTACTTCACACCAGGGCAGACCCAGGAGGATGGTCAGAAAGTTAAGTGAATCACTGGGAAAGGCGCGATCATTTGTGGCATAAAAGCTCTCTACTCCGACTGCAACAACGTCATTGATACTGAAAAACATGATAAAAAACATACAAAGATTGTCATGTGTGAAATGTAAACTGTGTAACAGTGTGAAAGGGTTATTATGTAGTACATCATGTACCTGCGGAGTAGGGGGTGGGTAATAGTTTTCAGGTGCACAAGTGTGTCCTCCTCAACAAAACGAAAGATCTCTACTTGGCTTTTGTACTGAGGGTGATTGACAACAAACAGGTATATAGACTCATCTGAAAAGAAACAGCAATGTGTGGTTGAACTTTTCTGTTATTTATTGGACACATACTGTATGTTCTGGTATTACTGTCACACCATTGCAACTTAGGTTTTAAGCTGTCATCGTTCTAGTTTGGCAACGCCAGTTTGATTTGGCAACGTTCCTGGTTAACGTGGTAACACCATGCGCGGTTTAACATTCCAGGTCCCAGAAAATGATTGTGCATTGTGTTAAGCACTTTGAATTGCTGTTACATATGAACATTTGCTATATAAATAAACTTGCCTTGCCTTTTGTGGATGCACTTTTTAACTGGTCAGTGTTAACGCTGGTGACAAACACATTGTGTTTCCTGTGGCTGCTTCACAAGAAAAGCGAATTTGCTTGTCTAGCTGAAGTGTTTTAATGCAAAGCAAGAGAGTGAGTGCACAGTAAACAGTGATGTTGCTATAAGTGAGATCAAATTACAAACAGTAGTGCTGGATTTTACTGCATTCTTATGAATCCCCTGGTAGAATCTACAAATAAAAACTACTAATTATACTGAAATTTAAGACATTAAATTGCATTACTGCAGAAATACAGAAACCATAAATAGCAATGGTTGGGTTTGAGTTCATGAAAATGACATGGTTTATAACTTTATAACATATGTTTTGTGTTTTTGTTGTGCATTATTATTTCTTGAACTTACTTATTTCTTACTTAATGTCTCCCTTTAAACTTGTTTGTAACTTTAAGAAAACTGCCCAAGAAGCGATAATCAACCGTGAATAAGGGTTTTTCCAGTGTTCCACTTGCTAAAATTCAAATCTCCAAAGTAAAATACATAAAAAACTCATTTCAAACCAGATAACGTTTTCCCCTTATTTCTCAGGCAAAAAACAGGCTGTCTTCTGAAGTTTGGTGAAATATTTGTAGATACAAAAAGAAGTCTCTGCTACTACTGAGACTCTGTTTGATGGAAGCTGGATTACCTGACCACGAGTAATTTAGAAACGGCTAAGAACGTGACGTTTGCTCAAATATCTGTTGTAGTACAATGGCTGTGACGTTACAGCTGATAATCAGTCACACCACCACATCAATATCTGCCACAAGTTGCGTCCCATAAATTGGCTTATCCTCTGTGGTAACATTTTGTCTTAACTGTTTTGTAACACAGCGAGCATTACTTCCACTTGATGATTTAAAAGCAATGATTATTTAAAGTGATTTTACAAAATTTGATTTACATAACGCTGCCTTTTGCTATGAGTTACCACAAGTCAGTAATTTATTGTGATCACCTCATGCACAGACTCTTTCTTCTCTTTGCTACATAGTTGAGATATTGCACCTCATTTGTATGTCACCTGCTTCATCAGTGTATACACTAATGCCATGTGGGTTGAATGAGCTGAGGTCCAGTTTTCCTTTGATTTGCAGCTCCACTGGAATGGGCCTTGGGTGCAGAAGATCCAAAATGTACAATTTCCCTGGTTTATCGGAGAATGAAGGCATCCCAGGATACTTTAACCCCTGAGTGGAAAACACTGCATATAAGAGAGTTTTGTAGATCTCTGCTTGAGGGAGTCATCATGCAAGCATGTGGTTTAGATTTAAGTTAACCAATTGGTAATCACAATTCATTTAAAATTGATATTATAGAGGTTTGATTAAAGAAATTACATTCATGCAATTCACATTTATGCAGCTCTATTTAAACTTTGTGGTGTTAAAGTGAACTTAAAATTTATAGCATACTGTGCTTAGGAAGGCCAGTCCATCCTTGAGTATTGTAATATCCTCTGCCCCACATTCTGTACAAAGTAAAGACAGAATAAATGCACCTTTTTCAGTTCTTACATTACAAAACAAAGTGTAAGACACACTGCTGACCTAGTGTCAATTACATGAACTTTAGACCAAACAGTTATGATCACATTTTGCACATAACTGCAAGGTCCAAAGACCAAAAACATGTTTGTCTTACAGAACATTTTTGTAAATGTCTAAATTAAGATACTGACATGAGTGCATACCGATATTCTTTATATAATGACAGCGAAGGTGTTTCACAGGTACTTCTCTGGAAGCAAGACTTATTTCCCTGTAGAAAAAGGTAAATATGGCTTAGTCAAAAACAAAAACTAAAGGTTTAGAAATGCATGTAAATGTATCCCTTCCTGAATGCCCACACTTGAACTTACTGTAGTAAGCAAAGGCTGTGAACACTGAGAAGCAGTTTTACTAAATTTTGACTCCACTCCATATATCATCTCTAATTTACTTCTGAAATAATGAAAACTTACTTTAACTTAAGAAATCTGTGTCCAATGAACGCTGCAAATGCAGCAACGAGAGCAGCGAGCAGTGTTTTCTTCACCATAGCCATATTTAGAAATCAAAGGTCATCAACAGCAACACTTTCCAAGTGCAATTCCATAGCTGCACCAAAGATGGAGCTGAAGCATACTGTACATGACAAGCGGCAGTATTAGATCTACCATCACTACTTCAGGTAATCTGAAAGAGTTTTTACCCATTTCAGATTGGTATGACAGTTATCTTTCTCATGAGTCATTTCTGTGTCATATTAAAACAAGGAAAGCCAGTAATTATTTAGGGATCTCAATCACATTCAATGTGCAACCAACACACCATGAAATAAAATATTTGTGCCTATAGAAGAAAGTTATAGAAGAAAGGATCAAAACACTACAAAGCAAGTGACGTGTTAACAAAAAGTTAATTGGGAAGTGTGCAATTTGAATACTGTAAACAGAAGACAGGAGCCTGAACAGACCTGCAAGATGATAAAACAAGATGAGAAACACTGAAGGAAGCACTGGAACACAGTTTTTCATTAACCATCCAGATTTATATAGATTCACTTTCTGTGCAGGTTCTTGTTGGGGTATATACTGACAACTGTTTTAGTGCACATTTGTTGAACCAAAAGACGAATTACAGCACAGCTATTGCATGGGTCTCTTTATTGTTTCATTTCGAGCCAAACACATAAAGATTATGACAATTTGTAATCAACAGCCTTTGTAGCATAAAAACATTTCAGTATATACAACACATTGCATAGGCCTATGTGTAGACTTCACATTTTCAGGTGACATAAAAATATTGATGCACAACAAAGCAACTATATGAACTTGCTTGATTAAAAACTATATTTTTTAAGTACTTGCTCCACAAGACTTGAGTATCTTGGCATTTCACTTAATTCTGAATTTTGTACCAATGGCTCAGTACTATAAAAGCAGGTTACCACCACCCATCTTCTTTCAGCTACTCCTGAGGGCTACATTCTTACACCATTATCACAGCCAGTCTAACGTAACTGGATAAACTGCATTTTTCTCATGCAAGTACTGAAATATCTATGTGGACTATTTTAAAAATCATAATTGCCCTGCCTGATATCCTTGCCAAAAATTCATCTTAATTTTCCTTTCATCAATTAAATCAATGATTTGTTTAAGACATTATAAATTTCAGAAAACATGCAAACGTGAAGAGACTGAGAACTATGAAGCGCTGAATTGTGGAGCTATTCATCATGAGTTCAGGATTGTAATGTTATATAAGCTAGCGCACACAGAGCTCTATGCCTAATGTTTGTTTTTAGGAGCACTAGATATGAGCACAGACAAATCCTTGCAGCCACAGTTGTTTTTGAAAAGAAGTAACATTAATGTTGCTACCTCAGTGTTAAAGGCAGGCAATTCCTTTCAGCTTTTTTTGTTAAATTTCTTGAATTTTTCTTTTCATCCTGATGACATTGAATAAATGAAAAGCACTGATTACATAAAGAGATAAATCTGTCATCTGTAGCAATACCAGGGCTGAAAAAACACCTGGCCAGTAATTTTACTCAGTCTAAGCAAAATCACTGGATGGCCTATCTGCCTGTCAAGCTACTTTCTACTTGCACACACTCTGCCCTTGCACTCGATGCACAAAGCCACAGTCTCCCACAAGGCGTTGCAGGCAGACGTGTTACTGCTCTGTTTTTATTGATAAAGCTAGCGAGCTATGGCAGAAAAGCTTTCTGTCGCAAACGGAGACCGTATTCAAGAAAGTTTCAAGAAGAAGTTGGGTGCTGCAAGAAGTAAAACCAGAATGAACATGGGTGTAGCTTTTGATTGACAGTGATAACAGAGAACGAAAGAGGCTGAAAAGTGATACCATGGTGGCCAAATTCCTGTAGGGCAGTTAATTATAGGCTTTGCTTTTTTTTGGGGGGGACATTTGTTATTCTCCTGAAATGTAAATAGTCAGGCAGTGCACAGTGCAGTGTGTTTTGAAGGAGTGGCTTTGGAGAGAAGTAGAATGAAAGGGTGGGATTTCTTCAGTTGGCTTATTTCAAAATTGAGCTTCCTCAATTAATAATAACATTAATAACACATTACCCTGTGGTGTGACAAACTTAAAACATCTTTATTTCTACTTTACCCAGACTTTAAAAAGCCACTGTCCACCAAATCACACACAATAGCCTTATGGAACACAGAACCAATGAGCAACTTTCCCTCATAGGTAGTTGCTACAGTAGAGGCCATGATCACATGACCGTCATCAGCATACACCTGAGTCACCACTGGCTGATCAGAGTGAATGTTCTGGATGCGGATAACCTGAAGAAAACACAATGATGAGGGGGGGAAAAAATTACAAGATGAATAAGAGTAAAAACCAGATCATCTGCTTAGGTTGAGAGCATATAAATAGAAACACTGAACATATACAGCAAAATAAATTTTATATTCTGTAATGTTGCCTAACATAGTTTACTACTGTAGCCGGTAAAATAAACAGACAAACCTCTGATCCTGGTGGGTCCATAGGGTCATACACTACCAATTTCCATCCATTAGGGTGACAGCCCAGCCACAGGTCACCAGTTTCAGGGTCAACTTCAACGTTGTCACAGAGCGATCCCACAGCCACAGACTGGTGAGATTATAATTATACATTCATCGTGGTGTCCTGATCAGCTTAAAAGGCAATTCACCTTATTTTGTACTTATTTCATCAATTCCTTTAATGTTTAACAGTGGTATATGTTGATTTTACTGTGCCTTATTATTCATGATATTTTGATTTTCAAAGTAAAGATTTTGAAATAAAATTGATGTAACTACTCCTGAAGTTACCCCCAGTAACAAGTTAACTGTTGGTTTACAGCAGTAGATTTACAAACTCCATTTGACATAGCACAAGTCCCTTCATCACTGCACATGCATGTAGAATTATATCGATAGATCCATATATTATACATTTATTTTGAAAATACAGTTACAGCATAATTCTACATGATCATTTACTGACTTTGAATTGTATATGATAAGATCATATTGCGTTGCTGACTCACAAAATTCTGACAACTAATCAATTACTAACTAAAATGTAAAAATGAGGCATCAAAGTTTTACAATATGTAATAGCTGCTGTCCAACATAATCCTTAACAGTGGAACAGACCTTATTGCGCTTAATATCAATTTAATTATTTCATATATGATTTTGACTTCATTCCTGTGATATAAATACTGGAAAATGTTCTTCCTATTAATATCAAGTTACTGATTTCATCTATACTGCCCAGCCCTAATGTCAATATGCATTTTTTTTTCACAAAAAAAAAAAAAAACACAGTTCTATGATAAATCCAGAAGTATAATACATTTAATTACTGATGTTGATGAAGCCTACTAATTCAGTGGAAATGGAAAAACTAATTCTTTAAACATGCTATGAAAAATATGGTAATATTTACCTTCACAGCGACCAATCCATTGCCTTCTTTCCGCTCCAACATATGCACATTGTGGTCAAATATATCTACCACATATATATGCCTATAAAAGATAAGAACATTACAGTGAAGAAATTCACATATCTAAAACATGAATTACCATATAGCCAGAAACTTGCAGATCATTCCTACCTCTTGTCTGGTGAGATATTGATACCATTTGCCATGTAGTAACCCTGAGAAACCACTTTCACATCATTGGGACTGTAGTACACAACATCTGTCCAAGGTTGACCCAGCAAAGGTTCAACCATGGTTTTAAGGAATTCATAGGAAAAGTAGTGGTCATTGGTTGCATAGAAGCTATCCACTCCCACTGCAACAATATCATTTACACTGGGGGGGAAAAAATCAGAATTGAAACATGACTTTAATTACATACAATAAATATATAACTGACTACAACATATGGTTTTAGTATGTTATGACATGGGGAAGTTTTACAATTATTGTTTCACAGTGACTGAGAGTGTAGGTATACCTTAAATTTGTCACCATACTGTACCTGTGGAGAAGTTCATGTGTTATGGTTTTTAAATGCTCCAGTGAGTTATCATCCTCAACAAATCTGAACAGCTCTACTTGGCTGTTGTGAGAAGGGTGATTGACAACAAACAGGTATATTGTGTCATCTGATGAGAAACAAGGAAAGCATTGTAAGAAAAAGCTCGAAACAAAACTGAAAATCACATTTGTAGGCGTATTTTTTTCTGCAAAAATGACGCCCCTTCTTATTCACATGAAAATACATCATTTACTAATTGTGCACATAGCTATACATGTCACTCAAATTGTGCAGAGATCGAAAGTTATGTGTGATGTGTGCAACCACACGCAAGTAATAAATGCTTTCACCGCTTGGATCGGTGTATACACTGATGCCATGGGGGTTGAATGATTCCAGATCAAAATTTCTTGGCATTCGCAGCTCCACTGGTTTCAACCGAGGATCTTGTAGATCAAGGGAAAATATCTTTCCTGGCACATCTGAGAAGGGCATTCCAGGATACTTCAAACCCTTGAGATTTTAAAAACAGGCTATAAGAAATTTTACAGAGCATAACATACTTGTACAATAAATGACATTATACTTCAGCAAATATTTAATGGCATAGCTCTTCTGTAAGTGGGCTAAACGGCATTGCTTGCATTTTAAGAGATGCAAGTAAGAAAAAAAAGCTAATGAATTGATGGAACTTCATGGAAAATTCATGCAGTTTTAAAATGGGATCAAGAATGTTAACCAGTATGCTATGTTAAGCACATCTGTAACAATATTATGTGAGAAAGTCAATTTTCCTATTTACATTACAACATGTTTGGTCAGACGCCCTTACTAAAATATTCCACTTCTAAGCTGGAAGAGTCTGTCTGTCAGGTTTGCTCCCTCACCTTTCCTACTGTCTCTTGCCCATTAACACTAATCACGTTCACCTGTTCCTCACTCCCTTATCACCAGCTGCACTTGATTAGGTCACTCACTATATTACCTGGTTTCACTCAGTCACTTGCCAGTTCGTTCTAGTCTCTAGACCATTTTTTCCTCCGTGCTCTTTCGTTGTTTTGTATGTCCTTATCCCCTAGCCAGCTACTGTTTTGTGTCCCCCCCCCGGGACTGTTCCTCCACACCGTGGCTCCACTCTCTCCTCCCAGGCAGGTCAATGCACAGTCGCCTATCTGTTCTACTATTGCCTTCATCTCTTTGTCTGTCTCTAACTTCAGTAACCACCATCACCACCGACCAGCCCAGGAGTGACCCAGCCTACACAGCTCGGCCCAGCTCTCCATCTCCTCACCTCCTACTGTTGGTCAACACCCGGTTACTACTCATCGACAGGACTACGCACTATTTCCCTCTGTGCATTTTGTTATTTCTCATCATCACTGTACATAATAAATCACTGCTTGCACCGAAGTCGGCTACCTTGGTCCGCCTCTTTCTCGTTCGCTCACTGACTGGTGCGAACGGCACTTAACACTGGCCATAATGGGGTTGCACTGGTGTTGACTTTTTTTACTGCCCCGTTGTTAATTTTTCACGTTTGGTTAATCTTTGACTGGTATAGCTGCTCTACAACTCAAATACTTACTGTGCTGATAAAGGCGAGCCCGTTTCCAAGGACTGTTATATCCTCCGCGCCATAATCTGAAAGTACGACATTTGCGCAGTTATTTTTAAAGTTTCTCAAATTTCATTTTAGATTAATTTTGTTCTCATCTTACTTACCCAGATTTTTGAGTGCAACACAGTTGGGCAGGTGATTCTGGACCAGCTCCCTGTGAGCCAAGGTTCTTGCTCTTGTGCAACACAAAAGGTATATTAGAGCAAGTGGCCACAACAAAACCTTTTCAAAGTTTTTTATTTTTAAATAATACCTTAACGTGATTATCCTCTCCCCAAGTAGCGCTGCTACGGCAGCAATTGCAAGCGAGATGAAGATGACTTTCCCCATGTTGGAATAACAATAAGCTTTTTAGCAAACGGCATAAATCGCTCTACCAACGGGGCGTGTCAGTGTCAGCAGGCGGGTTAAATGCTGCGTTAAAACTATTGTAAAGGGTGTGCCTTGTGTAACGGGCGCTGCTATGTGTGGCACTCCTTGCACGCCCTAGGATCTCATATACTCTGCGTTGTGTGTAGGTTAAGATGGACACCGACCACTGGTTTCACACAGGTTGCCTTTTATTGTCCCAGAGTGACGATGGATGGCACTTCTCTCAGCTTGACAATGCGAACTGGCAATCTGGTAATCAGCAACAAACAGAATTAAATAAACTACACGGAGGTAGTCGTCTGCTATGTGCGCATCAATCCCTTCTCTTGGCTCGGCAGCGCGAACTGAGAGCTGCACAGTGA